TTTATAGTACATAAAATAAGCTTTAATTTGATATATGTTTAAAGGACGCAGTATTTCCGGAACATTTTCAAAAATTAAGTTGAAAAAGTTAGTTTTTGTAAAAAAGTTGCAATTTTAAATCCCCCCCATGAGCAGGCTAAGTGTTAAATTTTCTAAAAAATTATATCAAATGAAAGAAAATTATCTAAGGTTTTAGTTTAAAAAAAAATTTTGTTGATTTTTGAAAAAGTTATGGAAGTTTTAAGAAAAAAAAGTGAAAAAAATGACAAAATTTGTAATTTTTTTGGATATTTCCCCCATTTGCGGGGAACGAGGGAAAATTTTAAAATTTTTAAGGATAATGTCTTCAACTAGATACAATTTGTGATCTTTTGACGTATTGTTAAAAAAAATCAGTCCAGTGAGAGCTGAGAAAAAGTAGTGACAGACACAAAAAAAAAAAATAAATAAAAAAAAAATACACATCATGGTAAAATTAATACCTTCTCAGCTTCGCATCGAAGCTAAAATTATTAAAAAGATCTACTCAATTGAGTGTAGTATAAAATTTGATTATAATTGTAAAAATCCATTGTTAAATTGAGTTGAAACTAAAAATAATTTTTTTTTAGATTTATGATTTATATAACAATATGATATCAAAAAATTTGTAATATTATAGGCTGTTAGTAACACAAATAGAGTAAAAAAATTATTAAATTACAGAGTAAAATGATTTGATTTTGTAGTTGAAGCCTATCATCTCAAACTTGATTCGTCAATAAATACTTTGAAAACATTATATGTGAATGATTTTAATTGTCTATATGTAGAACATAGGATAAGTAACTGTTTAATTTATAAATTAAAAATTTGTTTCAATTTTTTAGGGTAATATCTTCAATTAGATACGAATTGTAATCATTTGACATATCGTTGAAAAAAGTAGGTCAAGTTAAAGCAGAGAAAATAAATAATAGTCACAAAAATACTCCCTCAGCTTTGCATCGAATCTAAAACCTAAAATATAGTAAAATAATTGACATGAATAAGAAATTTCCTCTTGAAATTTAATAAAAATCAAATGAGTTGAAAATTTATTCTAACTTAAAAAGAATTAAGAAAAAATTTCTTGCCATACACGAGTTGGACCTTGTACCCCTAGCGTGTAAAACACATGTGTTACGGACTCGGCAACCGTACATTGCTTCCGTCGACTGAAAAAAATGGTAATTTAAACTAGTTCGAATTTTAATGTTATTTTTCTCTACTTAAAAAAAGCAAAAAAATTTAAATAAGTTTAATTTTCTATGCTATATCAATTTGATTTATATAGTATTTATGAAAAACTGTGTACTCCCCCTGTAAGGTATTTTAAAATAAAATACAAAACCCAGAATTTTAACACAAAAATGGCATATTTTTAAATACGATAGTCATTTTCACCATGAAGTCAAATCCAGAAGTAAAATTTTTTTTTCAAATTCAAGTATATTATATAAGCTTTAATTTAAGATACATATAAAAATGTCAGGATTTCCGAAACACTTTCCAAAATTAAATTGAAAATGTCCTAGTTTCAATACACATGTTTAAAGTTTTGACCCCACTTGTGTAAAGGGGTATGATCCGATTTACAAAAAAAGTGTGTTAGATGAAAGAGGTATATAAAAATTATTTATAATAAAATAATAATATTGATCCATACATTTTACCAAAAGTTATAGCAATATAAATTTAAAAATATAAAATAGAGAATTTTTTCACGGAAATCGTACGTTTTTCTTTAACTTTGGTGTCCGTTTTTACCATGAAGACAAATCACAGGTCAAAATTTTTTTTTAAAAATAAAGTATATTATATAAGCTTTAATTTAAGGTATATATAAAAATGTCAGTCTTTCCGGAATATTTTCAAAAGTTAATTTTGTGTGAAAAAGTTGCCATTTTGAAACCCTTTCCTGCGGGCTGGTAAAGGGTCAAATGTTCACAAAAATATATCAAATGATAGGTAAATACCTATATATATAAAAAAACAATTTTATTGATTCGGTCATTTTAAATAAAGTTATGGCAGTTTTAAGTAAAAAAAATTTCGAAAATTAGCGATCTTTAAATTTGTAATTTTTTGGGGAATTTCCCCCGAATAATTTTATTATAAGTAAAGGCCAAAGATTTAAAAAAAGAAACATTGTACGTCTAAGTAATGATCGTTTTAATCAAGTAGAGTATATTTTGAGTCGTTTTGGTAATTAAATAGCACAATACTAATATTTCCCTATTTTATCCAAGTATCAATTCATAGATATCGTAAAGCAAGTTTTCTAGATTTTAAAAATATAAATTTTTTTGTGGCGAACAATAACTGCATAAAGCTAATAAAATTATACCAATTCGTACATTTTTTTATGTACAAATAATTTTCATTTATTTTTTTACTCTTATACATTTATGAATTTTCGCTCTTACGCGTATGATGTTTGCGGCTGATACGGTCTACACTCTCTGTAATTAGTTTTGGCATGGAAGCTGAAAATAATGAATATTTACGTGATTTACTAGATGTTGTCCATTAAATTAAAACACCAAATCACTTAACGTTTCATACATATGATACTCGTATGGCGACATTTGATAAGAGTCAAAGAAAATTGACGCAAAAAGTCCAAAACCTTTACGAAGCTAAATTTTTTTCTTATAGGTAATATTGTTTATTACAAATTCGATTACAAAAAGATATTAATTACATACATTAGACTTCTATATATATAGAAAGATTAATATTAATAGATAATTTTTGGTTACGGTCAAAACGATCGATTTTATTGTTTTTGCTGTCAAGTACTAAGTGATTGGAACGATGATGATGTACTGTAGACAGAACACGTACAATGGTCTACCAAGTGTGTTTTGATTTTGTTTAAAAAAAGGCAAAATATTTATCGACAAAGCATATGGAAAAAAATAATGAAAATAAATACCGTTAAAAAATCCTATATGGTTTTTGAAGCCTAAATAATTTATACAGTTAAGAGTTATAAGTTTATCATTGTTTTAAGCATAGTATTTTATACAAGTTTGGACACAGCATGGATCTATAGAGCAAAATAGATTGTCTAACGGTTGACTACATCCTGGTTTGGCAAATACTTTTCTAAAACACATTTTTTCATGACCCCTTTACGTAAATAAATCCACAGACAATAGTCTCTATATGTTGACAATCATTCTAGTGAGAAAAATGCTTTCGGTATTCATTATATGTACATAGTAGTTTCTATTTTAGTGTTTAAAACGAATTTTATATTATAAGTCAACAAAAATTATTCTCAGGATTTTACCGCGATGATAATGAGCGGTTGGCGATCGTGTAGTTCCTCAAGTTAAGAATATTGGTATATAATTATTTAAGGATGCTAAATACTTTTGGTAAATGGATTTTTCGTCTACAAAATTTTTAGAATTTTGTTATTGATGTTGACTGTGATAGTGGTTTTATAAATATTGGTCTACTATTTTTTTTTTGATAACTTGTAAATGTCAACTTAAACTATTAAAAATAATATTATAAAAAAGTGTAAAGAATTAATATGTGTCTCATTTTAAAGATCGCGTCGAGAGTGGATGAAATATGATTAATGGGGGTAGAGAAAAATTTTCAGAACTCTAGGACTAGCCCTTTCTGAGTTTCGATCAATTTTATACTAACGTTAAAGGTTATGTCAATGTGCCACAGCAGCGATGACCTAATAAGATTCGAGTCATGTTGTGGTATGTTAAAATTTTCATGCGCATGTGCGAAGGACCTCTGCCTCGTCCAAAGAGTAGGGTAAGGACACCTCGGATTTATTATAAGGTCCCGTAAGCTTAGGTTAGGGGGGTTATAGTCTACATCGTTCCCTCCCCTTAAACGTTGATTAAATTAAAAGGGGGGACTGCCACTATTTTAAATTTCTCCCTCTCTTATAACACTATTACTCCTCTCCATCCCATCACCACCCTCCATTGTATGGTGAAAAGTGATGTGAGAAGAACAGCTTACCCAAAATTAAAATTTTTATATTTACTGATAGAAAATAATTTTAATTATTTCTTTATTAGAACTTTATTGTTATACTATAATATTATAGAAATTATATTATATTTTAGGAAAGAATTTATCAATATAATTTTTAATTTTAACCAAAAGCAGTAGATATTAATCTTAAAACAAAACTGTTTTTTTAGCCAACAACTGTATTAGTCTCTAAGAATAATCGAATAATTCATATTAAATCAAATATCTAATTTAATGTAAATATAGCAACTTTTGTCATGGTTTGGCTTAAAAACTAGTTGTTACTTACGTTTTTAAAGAGTTTTTTTTCGATCAAGTATGATACAAAAATATATAATTTTTTTCATACTCAGTTGTATCACTTTTCAATCATCAAAAGGAATTAGTATTTCCAACGAGGTGAATAAAGGGTGGATCAAAAAAAGTCGATCTTCGAAATTTTAATGAGTATCATTTTAACTTTATTATACACATTGAACATACACTTTATTATATACAATGAAACTTCATTAAAAAATTAATGGTTTGTTAAAAAAATATATATTTGAGAAATTATGTTATGACAATCGACATTTATTTATCGACTTTCAAAAATATCGTATATTTTAGCTTATGCATTAATTATAAAAAAATGTATAAATTTTTAAGATTATTTAAGAGTTTTTTTCCTACTTATAATATTGTTTCTTTGTTGGAATGCTGTAATATAATCGTTTGACCAGCGCTTCCAAAAGGATTGCAACATAGATTGCACTCTTTTCATCGTGTCAATCTATTCATTGGTACTTCTGTTGTGTCTTGCTCTATAGGTAAAAGTAATGAATCTCCAACCAAAAAGTGAGCAGGAGTCAGAGGTCTCGCATCATTTGGATCATTAGATTGCATCGTCAGTGGTCGTGAATTCAGACAAGCTTCTATTTGTGCGAGTAAAGTAACAATCTCTTCAAATGTTAAGCACTCATTACTCATGGTTCTTTGAAGACGATTTCACACATGCCTCCCAAAAGCCACCTATATGATGGACATTTGGAGGGATGAAATGTCACTTGATAGGATCTGGTAGACACATTTGACCAAGGTTCACCTTGTTTTTGATGACCTATTCATGAATTTCTGTAAGTTTTCTGTAAGCGCCAACAAAGCTTNTATGTTGACACATTTGACCAAGGTTCACCTTGTTTTTGATGACCTATTCATGAATTTCTGTAAGTTTTCTGTAAGCGCCAACAAAGCTTTTTATCACAGAATATAGAACTACACATACCCCTTCTGGCTATGAACCGTTTGAGTGCTGCAGTGAATGCATTTGTACTAAGATCACTTACAAGATTCAAGTGAACTGCCTTGACAGCCATGCATACAAAAACAACTATGTATGTCTTTACCTTACATGTTCGTTTGTTTGTTGATTGTCTAATGTAGACTGGACCACAAAAGTCTATGCCAGTATTATTAAATGACCTCGAGGGAGTTATTCTTGCACTAGATAGCTGACTCATAAGAGGAGATTGGAAGTTAGGTTTTGCTTTAAAACATACAATGCATGAGTGTACTATTTTTTTGCATAAGTTTTTCCCACTTAATGGCCAGTACCTCTGTCGCGTGATTGTTAAAAGAGCTTGAGGATCTATATGCAAATTTGAAATGTGTAAATATTTGGCAATAAGTTTAGTAATGTGATGTTGTTTAGGAAATAGTATTGGATGTTTCTTGTCATAAGAACGCGATGAATGTCGTAATCGACCACCAATTCTAAGTACTCCTTCTTGATCTAGGCATAACAAATTACTTTTTGAAGACAGACCTTGATTACTCAATAGTTTTTTTCATTTCTGAAGAATAACATTCTCCTTTTGAATTACCTTACACCAATATATTGTTGCTTGTTGAATTTCTTCAGTAGTTAGATTACCACTTCTTTTTTCCTTTCCTTTGGATCTTGTTTTAATGTTGTAACTGAATCTGAATATGTATGCAGTTGTTCCAGTGAATCGATACCATAAAGAATAATTTTGGAATTGAATGTTTGATGCTACAAATGACTTTGTTTTCATAGTTCGCTCTTCAGGTATAATTTCTAGTACAACTCTTGTGGTCAATGGCCAATTTTCACTAGAAAACCTTAACCACGTTGAACCTGACCACCATAGAGTTGCTTCTTTTAATTTTGATGGCTGAACTCCTCTTGAAATTAATTCTACTGAATTGTCTTCAAATTTTATATGATTCCACCGAGCAGTATAAGTTAATCTTTGTATTTCACGGACCCTGTTGGCAACACTGCTTCCACTTATTTGGCTAGCTGAAATCCAAGTTAATTTTATCATAGAATCAGACCATAAAAATATGTTTTTTGGTTTTATCCTTAATGCTGATGCAACTGAATTTACTAACTGTGATAATAATAATGCACTGCATAGTTCTAATGAAGGTATACCTAGCTGTTAATATTATTGTTTGATAATAATTATCATGATTTGTACATTTTATGTAAACTACAACTACAGGCTCGTTCTGAGGCATCTGCAAATCCATGTATATCAAAATTTAAGTCACAATTTACTAAAGTTACTTGTCAAGGAATTTAGACTTTATTAAGTTGGGTAATTCATCGACAAATTTGTTCCAACTTGATTGTATACTTGGTGGAAGTGAAGAGTCCCATCCAGTTTTGATTCCCATAATTCTTAAATTAATATTTTTTCAATTACCACAAATAGCCCTATGAGCCCTAGAGGGTCATAGAATTTTGCAATTAACGACAAAACTTCTCTTTTTGTATGATAACTATAAGCTTTATCCACAATTGAGTTGGTACAATGAAGTTCATCATCAACTGGATTCTATGCTATTCCAAGCACTTTAATGGGTTTCATTATATTGCTTAAATTAGTGTTTGTGCTTAATAATTATTTGTGATTGGAAGTCCATTTGCTGAGATGAAATCCTCCTTCTGCAAGCATTGAGTTCAATTCACATATTAATTCTTTAGCCTTTGTTACAGTAGTTGCTTCACTGAGAATGTCATTTACATAGAAATCCTTGATTATTCGTTCAGCACTTGAATATTTATCCTTAGTATCTATAACTAGTAGATTTAATGTTCGCGTTGCCAGGTATGGTGCTGCAGCTGTACCATATGTAACAATGTTAAGTTCAAAATCTTAAATATCTTGATCTGAAGATAATCGCCACAATATAGATTGTAAGCTTCTATGTTCTTTATGAACTTGAATTTTCGGTACATTTTGACAATATCTGCAGTGAACGCTATGCTATGCATTCTAAATCGAATGATTACAGAGAATAAATCATCTTGGACAACCACTTAAAAATATATCATTTAGCGATGAGCCCTTTCCTCCATCAGTTTTCATTGATACATCAAATACAACCCTTAGCTTGGTGGCAGTGCTAGCTTCACGAAATAACGAATTTTGTTTGAATGTTCTGTATCATTAACAACTTGCATGTGAGCAAGTGTTAAATATTCTTTAATAAATTCATTGTAATTAGTTTGAAGAATAGTATCTTTTTGAAGACGTTATTCAATCTGCATAAATCGCCGTAAAGCTTCCTTAATTGAGTCTCTAAAGACAGTTCGATCAATGCGTAACAGTAATTTAACAACATACCTTCCACGTAAAATACGAGATGTAGTAGAAGAATAAAGTTGTTCACATTGTATGTCTTCTTTAGTGTTTGCTTTATTAGTTTATAAAATTTTGTTAATGCTTAATTAGCATTTTCTATTATTTGACGATTTGAGTTAATACATGTAAAACTTACTGTGTTAGGTTAACTAAATTTACATTTAGTTGACCTGCCACAACCCAACCTAACATTGTTTCATGTTGAACGACCATGTCAAAATTTAATGTGTCCGACTAACAATAGTTCACTGAAGCATTTACATTAGCACCTTAGCTGTCCATAATAATACATAATTTGTTCTTTTTTACTACTTCTACTCTACCTTTGACAGTCATTTTCAGATATTGCGGACAATGAAATATTTAATGCAGCGTATCTTGGCATACAACACAGTTGTCTGAGTTGTTGTTTGTAGTAACTACGTGTATATTTGAACGCATCTGCGGTTTAGCCTGAGGTCCTGCTATGCGTTGATCTAGTTTTGCTGATTATTGCGTATAACACTCTAAAAAATTAATGAATTGTTCCTATGTTAGTCATTTGCCTTGGTTTAACTCTACATTTGTTGTTGTTCGACACCACATTTCTCTTAATTTTTTATGTAACCGACGATTTGTCAATTNAGCGCATAACACTCCAATTCTAAAAAATTAATGAATTGTTCCTATGTTAGTCGTTTGCCTTGGTTTAACTCTACATTTGTTGTTGTTCGACACCACATTTCTCTTAATTTTTTATGTAACCGACGATTTGTCAATTAAATTATTATTGTATCTCAGTTTACTACAGGTACACCTAATTCATGTAGTGCTCTCATGTTTTGATATAGATCAGTTATCATTTTTCTTAATTCTTCTGACTTCCTTTTTTAATAATTATATCTTGACAAATTATTTTGAAATGACTGGACAATAATAATTGTAAATTATCATACCTGTCAATCAGGTAATCTGACTGCCATGCGGTTTGTTATAGGAATTGACTGTATCATACTGAGTGCATGACCATTTAATGAACTTTTGAGAAACATAAATTTTTATACAGCTGATATTGTATCATTATTGTGAACTAATGTTGAAAAAAGATCTTTGAATTTGGGCCACTATTTAATATCACCGCCATACTTAGGCAAATCAACCTTAGGTAATCTTACTTGTATTCCAGTGGTTGTTGTTATTCAAGTTGCCTTACGAACATACAGTTTTATTTTTGCAGTAAACTATATGTCTTCCAATGCTGCACGTACTTCTTCTTCTTCATTGTTTTCTGCATCTTCTTCTAATAGTTGTTGAAATTTTTCAAAAGATTCCTTAATGGTTGACCACATTTCACGTCGAACTTCTAACTCACTTATATCATATTCTGTTAGTCAAACGTTGTCACATATGTATGAATGCGATTTAATGTATTGATTTGCGATTGCTTTTTTTTCTTAATGCTGTTCTTTTCTGATGCACTTAAACCCATTTTGATATTGTTTTTTGTGAACAATAACAAAAACAATGTTTATGCGGCTGGAAGGACCAAATTTTATGTCTACTAAATAATCTCAATTACTATTGAATGAGCTGAAAACATAGTGGACTGTATCTTTACTCATATTTACATCACTTAAAAATTGACATTATGAAGTTTCAACGAAAAAATAACTCATTGTTACATTTTAACTTGACCACAATATTACAATACAAATCTAACATAAAAACAGTGCTACCACACAACAATAAGTATAAGTCTCTACAATTAATAACATTGAAAGAATTGATCAAAAAGTTATTATCAAAATTATTATAAATTATTTTATTGTATAAAATGTTCTAAATGTTTTAGCTTCGATGCGAAGCTGAGAAGATATTAATTTTACTATGATGTGTTTTTTTTTTTTTTTTTTTTTTTTTTTTTTTCTTTTTTT